AAATCTATCAAAGACAGAAATACCCAATTACCGGTGGGGGCACATTTCTCACAGGAGGGCCAGTCTCTCTCCAAGCTCTCAGTCCTGATCCTCAAGGGAAACTTACACAACACTTCCCAGAGACGAGCCTATGAGCTCCACTTCATCAACCTCCTGGATACTAAAAATCATGGACTAAATATAGACATTGGATTTATGACACATTATAACCTGCCTGACATCTGACTCCCCAGGTACTTCTCCACTATTCATCCCCCTTCTCTCCCTCCCACCCAGCCTCTCTCTCACCCATTGACTCCTCAATCTACATCTTCACTGACTACCTGTCTTGTATGCATACCAGCCCAGCTGCTGGCTTCTTTACTTTTCATTCCATCCAGGAAGAGCACACACCAACTGCTGAAACTTCCTTAGCCTGATGAAGGGTTTTTGAACCCGAAAGCTTGCTTAATAATTATTTTCCAACTATTTGGGTTGGTCTAATAAAAGATATCAGATTCACCCAAGGAACCTTGTCTGCCTATGTCCTTAGACCAACACGGCTACAACCTACACCCCTGTGGCTAATATATATAGAACTCCTGTCTTAAGACATTTTAATTTGAATTGTAGGTTTTCACTGACCCATCTTCAAAAGACCCCCCCAATATGTAAATAGTGATGTTAGCAAATTAGTGTAGATACAGTTTAAGCAGGGCATGGACTAGATGACCTCTTGAGATGTCCTCTTCCAGCCATATCTTCTATGATTCTGTTTTCACACAGATCAACATGTATGAAAAAGAAAAATGGGTCTATACCAAGCCATTATTTAATTTTGACTAATAAAGGTTATTGAATTTAAACATTCTTGTTATGGTATCTTTCATCCCCCAAAAAATCACTGTCTCCTACTGAGCCCCCAAACCAGAAATTCTTTTAAGTATAGTTTGCATCATCAGCTTTTGGAGAGGTAAATCATATTCACCTATGGCAAGTCATTTTGCATTCACTTACTGCCCTGGGGACATATCTTTAGCTGGTGTAAAATGTCATAGCTTCACTAAAGTGAACATAGTTCAGTACAGCTTTGGCAATTTAACAACAGCTGAAAATCATCATTGTAGTTCATAGAGATGCGTATACATGGATCAGCTAATGCAGCCATATAGAAATACATGATTTCACAGGGCACTACGTACAGCTTAGAATGGAGTTATGACAATGTGGAGGAGATCAGAAGCATTAATACCATGCATACATTATTCAGTTATTTATTTATCGTTTCTCTCCCCCACAATTCCAGGATGAGAGAAAAACAGAGCCTTGCAAGACGTCATAATTCACGAGTCAGATCTGACCAAAATAACCTCCTGCAGTGTCTGTGGGGTGCAAAATATTTTGGCAGCAGCTTTGTAACATGATTATCTTTCCCAGAACAAAATCAGTATTTCAGGGGATTGTTTCAAAGTGTCCCTAACCCTTATTCCATTGGTTTATGCTTAGATCCTCCTTTCACTTCCGCTTGTTTCTACTTCAGGCCTTGCAACACTCCTCAGGCTAAAAAAGAAGCAATGCCCTACTCTTGGGGGGATCTAGGATTTTGAGAAGTGGGGTGCAGATAGTATAGTGCATCATCCCATAAAACAGCCCTCTCCCCCCCATGGATCTGCCCCTGGCCCTATTCCATCTATGCCTCCTGATTGTTCTTTATGTGAATAGGCAGACAAGGTTCTTTGGGTAAATCTGATATATTTTATTAGACCAACTAAACAGTTATTTTTTTTCTTAGCAAGCTTTTGGGTTTAAGAACCCTTCATCAGGCTAAGGAAGCATCTGCAGTTGGTGTGTGCTCTTCCTGGAATATAGGATCTTTCTGGAAGAGCACACACCAACTGCAGATGCTTACTCAGCCTGACGAACTGTTTTTAAACCCGAAAGTTTGCTAAGAATTTTGTTTCCAACTATTTAATTGGTCTAATAAAAGATATCAGATTTACCCAAAGAACCTTGTCTGCCTATGTCCTTAGACCAACACGGCTACAACCTACATCCCTAGTTTATGTGAATATGCTCCCATACAGAACATGTTTGATTCTCAGCAGACTAGCATTCTTCATATCAAAATAAGCCTCCAGATTTTCTTACCTGTTGAGTTAGTTTTGCTGGCAAGGACAGAATAAAGGTACATTCAAGTGTATGGTGAGTGAGGCAGATGACTGGTGGTAGGAAAGAGCACATGGATCAAGAAAAATGATGCTTTTTTGCTGCTGCTGGACTGAGAAGCCAGTTGGAACAGGAACCATTGCTACAAGGGTTTGACTTGCCTTGTGGGGGGCTGTCATGGCTGGAGCAGGAGTGACCTTATATTTGCTGTCCTTAGCTGATTATTTCAAGAGCTCCAGTCTCAGTGATTCTCTGCTGGGGCTGAAGGGGCCATTGAGTTCCTCAATGGAGAGAACAGTTGTTTTGGGGGCTGAAAGGCTGTTTCCTGTGTACCTTCAGGAAATATCTAGGAGAGAGATGATCAGTTCTCAGTCTTGCTGTTCCTGGAAAAAAATGGCACAGTGCTTAAACTGTGAGTGGCATTGCTGCCTGAAGTAAGCCCTGGGAGTGACTCGGCAGCAGCCTACTGCAGTACCTCAGTGATAGGTGCGGTGTTTTTTCCCTGCCTGATCCATTAGCATGCCTTCTTTTCTAGCTTGAAGTCTTGACGCTTATCCTGAGAATGAGTGAGGGGCCTGTAGGTAGGAGCAATCCCTTACCATCAAGGACCTGACTTGAAGCAGATGAGCTGCACCCCTGAGAATGTAATAAGGACACACCCTGCTTTCTGTGCAGGACTGAAGAATTGCAGCCCAGGGGAGGTTTTCCTTCCACCATTTTCCAGCTCTAGAGCTGTGGGGGGACCTCACTGCTGTGCCTTATTATTCCAAACCTTGGAAAGGACCCAGTCACAATATTTTACTACCAACTCCACTTTATTGCTATGAACTTTAAAGGATTTTCCCAAGTAATTATTTATTTTTAGAATAGGAATTAAAATACATGAACAGAGGAGGAGGAGCTGGGTGCCTAGAGGAGCAGATGGGCTGTGTAATGATCAGACACTGTCCTGCCACAGTGACTCCAAGGCGACCCAGCCCCTCATTCTGAGGAGAGATTTGGACTTACCTTTTGGTCTTCTTGTGAGGAGGGAGCTGAAGAAGTGGAAGGGATGGACAGATTATCAACAGAACCTTTCACATTCTCATGAATGAATCATCTTGGTTATCTATGTTTCCTATTAAATACGAATTAAAGTAGCCCTTTCATGGGGCAGAGCATTAAATCTGAAGATTAAATTAAGATACTAAATCTAAAAGAAAGTATGGGCCAGAGATGATAAAAACCAAACAAATATAAGTTAACATCAGATATACTGGAGAAAATTGGGGAGGGGAGGAGAGCAGAACAACTATCAGGATGGGACTAGTAGGCTAAACTAGCTGATAACAAGGACTTGAGCACAGCCAAAGGAAAGCTGATAATTTGAGCGGCAGTCCTATTTAGAGAGGGAGAGCAGGGAAGAGCCTACCAAATGATTCTTGACAAGTCCAGAGATATAAATATGAGAATGCAACTGGCAAGGAAAAGCTGAAGAAAGAATGCTGTCTTATGAAACATGGCCATCCAGTGCAGATGATGCAGAGGTAGACCTGGGTAGGCCAGAGTCCACTGTTCTAATTTTTATGTTTGGGATCCTATATTTCCACATCAGCCTTGGTTGAAGAAGCCCTGCACAGTGCATAAGTTGGTTGCATGCCCAGAGGAAGCTCTGTAGGGGTAAATGTAAAGTTAAACATTAGGGGTAGTCCTTCCTTGTGAATCTGAAACCCCTTTCAGGGATGCTCATTTTATTCCATGCAAAAAGCACAGAGATGGTTAGTTGTGTTAGTCTGAAGTCAGGCAGAAGGTAGGTCGGTGTGGCATCTTTGAGTCTAAATGGTTCAGAGAGGCATGACCTTTCATAGGCAATGACTTACGGCTGCAGTTATCTAAAGAAGTAAATTGTTTCCTACAAAAGCTTATGCTTCTGAACCAGTCAGTTCCCAAGGTGCCATCCCTCCCTACCTTTTGCCATTCTATGCATATAAAAATGGGGTGGGTTATGGGTAAATAATGGGTATCTTCAGAGACATG